CGTGGGGCAACGCGCAGCGCGGGGCCTGGCAGGCTCGGGGCTGGGACCGGGGGGGCCCGCCTCCTCCCACCGCCCGCCGCGGCCGAGGTCGGTGTTTACCCCACACCCTCAGGTTCCCCGAGTCGCCTTGAGGGGACTAGACGAACGTGTAGAGTACTAGAAGAAAACAGAAGTGACTCGTGTTCTTGTCGTGTGGATCTGCCCGAGACTGCCGTGCTGGGGACCAGGGGGTGCAGCGCCACGCGCCCATCGGGCAGGAGGCATGGCTGGGAGGTGGAGGAGGTGACCCGTGTGGGACAGGTTCTCAGCTGTTGGGCATCGCGAACTACTTTCTCCACCTCTCCCCATTGAATGGGGAGGCAGTTATTTTTTTTTTATGTTTTTATTTTTTTTTTTGTCTTTTTCCGTGTCCGGCATCGGATCACAACCCTCAGTGTCGCCCCCGAACCGGACCGGGACTGGCAACGGGATCGCAACCCTCGGCGCTGCTCCCGCACCTCGCTCAGCAAGTGAGCGGGAACCGGTCTGTATGTGGGATCTGAACCCTCGGAGGGAGCGCCACCGCGCTTCCCAAGCGGCGCACCATGGCAGTGCGCCACCGGGCCGGCCCCTATTTTTTTATTTTTATTTTTTTTTAAAGATGACCGGTAAGGGAATCTTAACCCTTGACTTGGTGTTGTCAGCACCATGCTCTCCAAGTGAGCTAACCGGCCATTCCTATATGGGATCCGAACCCACAGCCTTGGTGTTATTAGCACCACACTCTCCCGAGTGAGCCACGGGCCTGCCCATGGGGAGGCAGTTATGAGAAGTGGCCAGCCAGTTAAAAAAAAAAATACGTATTCAGCCCATTAACTGTGGGCCTGGTGCTGTGTGGGGAGAAGGAAGGAAGAAGGGGGCTCAGGCCAGTGGGGCTTTACATGGCCCTGGTGACAAGGCTGCCTACAGGAAGAAACACTAGCGGGTGGGACTGTCCTGCAGACACCTGGATTTGTAAGTGCTGTGTGGGCCCTGGAGGAGCGGAGAGCAGGAGGGATAGCATGGAACTACCAGAGATAAGACGGTTTCTCTTTATAGAAGGGAAATATAGTCATTATAGAAAAATTCGAGAACTTTCCATTTAAAATGTAAACTTTTTCTCCACCTGTTAAAATGAAAGCTTGTGTCATTATTTTTGATGGCTACATAGTAGTTTTTTTGTGTAGCCATGCCATAATTTGTTGCTGGAGCTGGTTACTTATGTTTTCCTAGTTTTTCACTCAAATAATGTGATGAACATCCTTGAAGCCAAATCTTTGTGCATGATAAATTCTCACAAGCAGAGCTGCTGTGTCAGGTCTGTGGATTTTTTTAGGTTTTTGATACGTGTGGTCAGTCTGCTTTCTAGGAAGTTTGTGGTTCTGAGCGCCATAGATAAATGCCTCTGGGTCTGCCATCCTGACTCTGCATCCTTGCAGGATCAAAGCCTTTTGCAAGACCTCCTGCCTATTGAATGGGTCAGAGATTGGCACGGCAACTCTTTCTTATTTTGTATTTCAGCTGGCAAAACTCAAGGCTCGGAAGCTGCTGGGCCCCCAAGAAAGGAAAGGAAGAAAACACAAAAGAAATTACGGGAGCAGGAAGAGAAGGCTGTGGAGCAGAAGGCCAAGTTGCTGGGAGAGAATTCAGCAGCTTCTGGGGCCAAGAAGCCATCTAAGGCTAAGAAGCCAGCAGCGGCCAAAGAGGAGGAGGCGTCCAGCTCCATGGAAGTCCCTGCAGGTGAGAGGCTCCAGGGCATGCAGGGGCAGGGCCAGGGTTGGGATGCAAACATGGTCCCTTCTGCTCATAAGAAAAGGCACCATCAGGAACATGGGGACAGCAAAGAGTAAAGGTCATAGGCACACTATGGATCGAGGGGAACTGAGAAAAGGTGGTTCCAGGCCACATGGCTACCAGGAGAGTAAGGGGCAAGGCTGTGTGCTCTGATGACCTGGAGCAGCTTGTCTTGAGGAGATTCATTGCCCTCCGACTTGTCTTGGGGGCCCCAGACTGCAGAAGTTGGAAGAATTGGGAGAGTGGTTTGGCTTCCACCGTGAGAAGTGTTTTCTTGTACCAGTGACCTACCTTGTGAGGCAGTCAGTTACCTGCCATGGAGGATGTTGTAGGAACCAATGCAGGTTGAAGAGGTGGAGGGGAATTTACTGGAATTGCCCTGTAGATCCAGGAGTGGCCACAGGCGACATGGAGGGCAGTGAATAGAGACTTGGACTTAGATGCTGGGCCCCAAGGAGGGAGAGGATAGGTCAGACAGAGGCCCCTCTTCAGTCCTGTCTTCTCTGCAGATGGCCTGGCCCCAGGGCCTGACTCTTTCTTTGCCCTGGATGTTCTGCGACAGCGACTACATGAGAAGATACAAGAGGCCAGGGGCCAGGTAGGTTGCAGAGCCCTCACGGAGTGCCCAGGGACGCGTTTGTCTGAGTGGTTTCCCCGCTGTACCTCCATTCTTTCTGCAGAGTCAGCTTGTAGTGAAGGGCCACAGCCACTGTTCTTACTTCTGTAGTGGGTCCTGCCAGGGCTCAGCAGCAGTGTGCTGGGAGAGCAGGTGTACTTCTCGTTTTCTTGGAGAACCTTAGTCCCCAAGGTCACCAGCCTTTTGCTGGCTATTCCAATGCTGCTGGCTCTTCTCCATGGGCTCTGGAGCCATGGGCTCAGCCTCCTTTCTGGGAAGCTGCTGAACAGCACACTGGGCTGCGCACTTCCCGTGCACCTGTTCCTCTAAATGATAGTCCTGTGAGTTAGGTAAGGACCCCGAGATGAGGTGACCAGCCCGTGATGACAGCTGCAGGAAGCGCCAGCGCCGAGCACTGGACCAGCCTCAGTTTCTTGTGCTGAATGGTGTTTTTCCCCTTCCAACTTGGCCACCACCTACCCTTACCCCGGGGCCCTTTTCTCTGGCCTCTTGCTGTGTGGCAGACAGTCCCCCAGCTTCTCACCTTCCTGGGACAACTGGCCATCTTTTGGGTGAGGTGGTTGGTTCTAAGAGGCCATGAAGGCTCTGGGCCCTCATACCTGCAGCATGGGTCTGGTTCAGTCTGGTGCAACTGGGACTTGAAAAGTGTGTGGGAAGAGCAGAATGGGGCTGTGTGTTGTGAGTAGAACGTGCGGTGGTCAGGACAGGCACTCAGTCGTTCAGACCTGACTCCAAGTTCTGGGTGGTGGTCTTGGCCCTTTTTATTTATAAAGTGGTGGGTGATAGTGTGCAAAGCTGTTTGTGAAGTGCCCTGGCTCATGGTAAGGGCCTGGGAACTGGAAGTGTGGTTCCAGTTTTTTTCTCTTTTTTAAAGATGACCGGTGAGGGGATCTTAACCCTTGACTTGGTGGTGTCAGCACCACGCTCTCCCAAGCGAGCCACGGGCCGGCCCTTGGAAGTGTGATTCTTATATGGGGATCCCTCGTCCCTTTGGGCTCCTTTGCACTTTGGGTAATGGATCATCCCATTGTGGAACACTTAACTCAGTGGCCCCACTCCTGCGCTAGGATCTCCTTGAGTACCTTCCAGCCCTGATCCCCTCTCCATCATGTGCCACGTGGGGCCTAAGGTTGGGAGGACTCTAATGAGTGGACACCTGCTTTCCCCTCCAGGGCAGCACCACGGAGCTGTCCCCTGCCACTTTGGAGAAAAGGAGACGGAGAAAGCAGGAGCGGGACCGGAAGAAGAGGAAGCAGCAGGAGCTGCGTCGGAAGGAGAAGGCGGCAAAGGCCGAGGAGGCCGCGGAGGCCACCGCAGAGACCGGCGCGCCACCCCGGGAGGTGGCCTGCAGAGAGCCACCGCAGCCGCAGCCGCAGGGGCTGATCTTCAATAAAGTGGAGGTGGGCGAAGAGAGCCCGGCCGGCAGGGCCCAGCGCAGGAGGCAGAGGCGGCGCCAGGTGAAGGGCCACCAGCCGCCGCTGACCGGGAGGAACTACCGGCAGCTGCTGGAGCGCCTGGAGGCCCGGCGCCGCCGGCTGGAGGAGCTGCGGGCCCGGGACGCGGGCG